CCCATATCTTGTCACACAGGTCGTCTTGTGTTCATCGCCCTCTACAATCCGAACTTTCCACTAACCTGTCTTCAGGTCTATCTTGGTGAACACTGTCGCACCACCCAGTCTATCAAACAAGTCTGCCATTAGCGGAATAGGGTACTTGTTCTTCACGGTGATTTTGTTTAGAGCCCGATAATCCACATAGATCGCAGACTGCCATCATGTTTCTTTTGGAATAGAACAGGGGACTCGTATGGGGACTTGGAGGGTACAATGATCCCTGTATCTAGCATTTCCGTCAATTGTCTCTGAAGCTCGGTGAGTTCGGGTTGTGACATTCTGTAAGGCGCCCGGGCGGGTGGCTTCACGCCCGGCACCAACTCAATTTCATGGTCCACAGTGCGCCTAGGCGGGAGCCGCTTTGTCATGTCTTGTGGCATGACATATTCAAACTCCAGTAGTAGCTCCTTCACGGGTTCAGGAATGGGACCCGAGGAGCATTCTATATCTTCAGTGCAGAGAGTTTCCAGGAACGTAGGTTCATTTCTTTTGACCCCCTTCTTCAAATGCAAGGCCGAGATGTTCTCAATGTCCATATTCATGGGCATGCACGAGATAATGCAGGGCTTGGCCCCATTTGTTCCCATCATCAGTAGCATGTCTGCATATGGTACAGGCATGGTGTTGGTTTGCCTTAGGAATTCTAACCCAACTATCAACTTGAAGTCATCTATGATCACCACTCGCAGGTTGAATTTTCCTTCGTAAGGGCCAAGCTTCACCGGTACCTCTTTGGCTTTCCACCCACTGGTTGGGGAGGTGAGTTGAAAGCCTTGACACGACCTCTACCTTTCCCTACAACTAGACCAAGGCGCTCCACCTGAGTCGAGGCTAAGTAGTTGTGGGTAGCACCCGTGTCTATCATAGCCCGAATAGGCTTGCAATTCACCTTCATCTCAACGAACATTAAGGTCCTCTCTTGTTTAAGAGGAGTCTCTTCATTCGCCTTCTTTTTCCCTTTCTTGGTGACGGGACATGAGTCCTTCTTCTTACGAATACCAGCACTGGTCCGCTAGTGCCTCAGAAATGGAACCCACAATTGCATTGAAGGCACCTACTAGTTCAGTCTGTCCGCATCGTCTGAGTTGTCATCAGTCCCATCATCAATAGCCTGATGGGCATTCATCTGTGCATGTGGGCACTCATTGTTCCAATGTGGACCACCGCAATGACGGCATCCTGAATGAGGCTTTCTCGCCCGATCATTGTTGTTTGACGCAGCACTGTTGCTGCCGGAGGAAGGAGCTCTAGATTTGTTTGAGTTCCGATCTCCCCCATTTTCGCTAGGACCACCACTGCTGGGCTGGCCCCCTTTGAACCCTGCTCGGGCAGGCGGCTGAGGNTGGTTGAGCTCCGATACTCCCCCACTTCTGCTAGGGCCACCATTGCTAGGCTGGCCCCCTTTGAATCCCTCTCGGGCAGGCGGCTGGGCCTATCCTTCCGAGCTTCCACTCGATAGTCCCCAAGGCATTCACGCTGCTTGGATCGCCATAGGTAGGGTATCTACCCTTTGTCTTTGTAGATCCACACAGGCATAAGGTTTCAACCCTTCCAGGAAGGTGAAGAGCTTGTCTTTGTCTCCCATGTCGCGTATGTTTAGCATGAGCGCGGAAAATTCCCGCACGTAGTCCCGCACTGATTGGGTCTGGCGGAGCTGCCGTAGCTTTCTCCTTGCATTGTATTCAACATTTTCGGGGAAGAACTGTAGGCGTATGGCTGCCTTCAGTTTTGCCCATGTCTCGAGAGCATCTTCACCGGCCCTAATGGCTTCGTACTTCACCCGCCACCAAAGTTTAGCATCACCCTGAAGATACATGGCAGCAGTTGCTACCTTCTTAGCTTCTTCTAGGCCCCCAACAGCATCGAAATACTGTTCGATGTCAAAGATGAAGTTCTCCACTTCCTTGGCATTCCTAGCTCCATTGTATGGCTTTGGCTCAGGAATTTTCAATTTTTGTGTCGTGGAAGCGGGGTTCACAGCGCCCCCGATTTGGTTTTCACCTCCTTGAAGCAGGCCCTGTAAAGCAGCATTGACAACATTGAGCTGGTCTGTCAAGTTGTCAATAGTTTGTTGCATGGCAATCACCATGTCTGCCTCTTGTTCCCTGTAAGCTAAATCCTCGGTGCGCTCCTGTTGGAGTCCCTCGAATTTGCCAAAAATTTTGGCTGCCTCTGTGGCTGCCGTCTACCGGTCTCCCTCGGAGTCGCGGCTGATGTTTTCTATGTCAACTTCGGCCTGGAGCACTCTGCAGTCCAGGTCGTCCAACCTTTGCACTAGGCTGGTTCTTAGTTCAGGCACCGTATCCACGATGTGCTGTAATACGTCAACTGTCTCCTCAAGGGACGCAATGCGGTCCCCATGATTCACCATGGTCAGAAATGGTGGTAATGGTAATATGTTCCCTCGTCCGATGTCGAGCCTAGGCTCTCATACCAACTGTTACGCGGTGCCTTCCTGAGATTCCTTGGAAGGGCGACGTAAGGCTAAGCAACTGATGTCAGTGCAGCTACTGTCCGCTAACTGAGGTCCCCTCCGTACGCTAGACTAGATTGTCAGTATCGTACGGGAAAACCAATGTCAAGAGCAATTGAGAGAACAGAAATGAGAATTGAGAATGAAAGAAAGCTTGATTGCATTAATGAAAGCTATTATAGAAAAGCAACGCGGTGTCGAGGGGGAGAGACACTAGTACAGAGAATTGTTTGCTTGCTAGAAAGTTTGATTGTTTGATCCCCCCTAATAATGCTTAAAAAAATAAACCAAAGCTACAAGACGAGACTTGACTAAACTAGAGGAACATAATGGAAGTACATGAAATAAAACTACTATATATTTACAATGAAAAGGACTTAGTTTTCTACAAGGCAGAAACAGGTTCGTTGTCAGCAGCAGCGTCTTTGGCATCACGGTCGGCGCGCGCGGCGCTGTTGGCATCTGCCTGCGGCTGGGCGCTGGCGAGGGATATTAGTGGGGCGACAGAGGCACATGCACACTTGTCACTTGGCGCGGCCAAGAGCACGGGGCGGTCCATGGCGCTAGGCATTGGGAGGCTTGCTAGGACGTCACGGGGCGCGCCCAAGGGGTCATGGGGCATGGCTGGAAAGCCGCCCATGATAGTATGTTTGATATTGTCCATGAAGTCTAAAGATATCAGATCTACAAGTACTTCTAGGAATACCTTCCAAAAAAAATGAGCGCCAAATACTTGATTGCTCTTTAGGTGAAGAATGAGAGAATGATAATTGAGAATATGAGTTTGAGAAATGAGAGATGAGAGAAGAAATGAAGAAGAGGGGAGGTGTATTTATAGTTTTTCAAAGGGCTAAATTAGTAATTACAAAGAGTGTTAATTTAAACAAAAAAGGCCCTAAAAGGGTTATTTGTGCAAAATAGTCGTTGGGCAACGGCCCCTTGGCCCAGCTGACCGTTGCCAACGGCAACAAACATTTAAAAAAGAAATTGAAACAACTAGCCGTAACCGGTCTGGGCCGGTTCGGGCCGGGCCGGTTAACCGGTTCTACAGTGAATCTCGTTGACTGGGTTTGACCGATCCGGTTAACCGGTTGAACAAAGGTGAACGGACCAACCCCCTTACCCCATTAACCCAGCTCACCCAACCCCCTATGTACCGATCCGGGATGGTCCGGGTTTCAACCGATCTGGGTCGGTCCGAAAACGGGCTGTCCCGGCCCGTTTAACCCCCTTAATTTCAAGAGTCTTGCATAACTAACAAGATACATACGTCACAAATTCCTATAAGATTTCTTGAAAAACTAAGAGATAATATTGCAAAACTAAGTATTCTTAAAATTACTATAAAAGACTCCTAGATAACAGAAAAGTCAAGAATAATATTCATGAATGTATTAATTCTGACAGGGCATACGTCACATATTTTCTTACATGCATTATGTTTTTTAATCATAAAAACTCACATAATTCAACACAAATTTATTGAACTGACATCTCATAGCGACAAATAGGACAACTGCCCCTTCTCTCAAGCCAAGTCCATAGGCAGCGAAGATGAAAATAATGCGAACAAGGTGTGCGAACAACTTGAATACCCACTGGTAAATCTCCCAAACAAATCACACAATCACTCTTTATCCTCGGCTTTTTCAGCGAGTCAATCAATGACAAACTAGCAGGTTGGAATCTTGTCCTGTCACAGACATGATATCGGTACAAAAGGAGAGCAGCTGATGCGCGAATTATCTCTTTGTTGCATTCTATAAAACGATATTCAGGGTTTTCTTGAAAGTCAAGAGAACTAATTGTAGGCCAGTTGTTAGTGACCTCCGACACAATTATTTCTGTATATTTTTCCTGAGACTTCACGCACATCATTAACTCTTCGTAGCTAAGCCATAGACTAAAAGCTTCTTCTAATTTTTCCTCTTCTTGGTAGGGGACGACCTTTTGTGTTCCATTCCTGTCAGTTCCAACCCATCGATGTATGGTTTTGCTGGAGAATTGGATCTCCACTGGTGTCGATGAATTAATAGTATTATTCATTGTTTAAACACTGAGTGCGGATAAGTTTATTTTACTCGAACAAAAGCTTTAATTTGCCCTTCTATAGCCTATCCCTTTCTTTTTAAGTTGCTTGATGATAGTTTAGGTATTATTATATATAGCTTGACTAGTTTCTAAAATTATTTTGATTCCTAATTCAACTATGAAAAAGAATATCCGCTCTAAAGTTACAGCGATAGTCCATATTCAAGTAGGAGATGGACAAGTTACTACTTGAATACGTTTTCTACTTCAAGTAGTATTCCCTCAATATAATTGCTTCATGTAGCCCCCCCGCCCACCCCCACCCCCACCCCCACCCCACCCCAAAAAAAAACAATCATGATCTCTCCTTTGACGACAACATATAACTGCACATTAAATAGGTGCAAGGAGTGGCATATCATTCACTACTGATGTTGCAATATCCAGCAAAGAATTAAACCAGTTATGTAATACAAAAACGGAAATATCTAATAACTTATGCAAGTATCGCCTAGAGGCATACATATTATAGATAACATGCCATAGTATTATACAAGGTTTCGACAAAAATTTTACAAGGAAAACACAAAATAGTAGAGACGAGGCTTCTTTGAAGTTTCTACATACGTCCAACTTCTTTTTTTAAAAAGAAAAAGGAGGGGAGGGGGGACTACATATCCCCAACTTGTAGCACATCAGTGGAACTGGAATAAAGATGAGCTTATGGGAGCCCATCGTTGGCGCTAATAGGAGGAGGTGACGGCTTGGGAATGTAAGGCATTAGAGGAGTACCATGCTCAACAGGTCCTGGTCTTATAGAAGCTTTTGTGCTAGGAACTGGATCTATCGGACGATAATCTTCTAGATCTAAGTTGCTTGAATCGCCCTCATTAGTGCTTGGACCGAAGCCATTTCCCTGAGAGTAGGAAATAGTGGAGAAACAATGTTTTTAAGTAAGAATTTAACTTTTATACAGGTGACTACCGATAAAAATAGAATTAGTAACCTAAACAATATGGCAAGTAACCTTCTATAGTAGTGCAAAATTTTCATTACATTGTTAGTGGATCATAAGTTAAATCCTTTTAGTGACGAGGAAACACCATTTCTGCAGCTGTTTCATTTACCTTATACTAGGTTGCAATGAAACGATTAACAAGCCAAAGATGGTCGATAAAGTGAAAGTACCTGCAGCTTTCTGCTTCTTATGGTCATCGCCATATCATTACTTTGCCATTGGAAGGACATTCCTGTGGTTCATTTATGAGAAGGCTAAGTCAATACCCGTGTGTGAATATAGCTATCCGGCTTAATTCTGTTTTTTTAGCCTCAGAATCTGGCAAACAGAGATAGGCACATATCTGATATGATTCCTCTAACAGCAGCAGAGTGCATATTAACAAACTGAAATGAATTTACCACAAAAAAGAAGCTGACCGCAAAAGGGGACTGCCTTTGACTTCGTCAATAATCCTCGGATAACATTTGAGAACCATCAAGAAACAACTTCGATGAGTAACTTAAGTAGCTGAATAACAGTAAGATGCCTCATCACATGCAAGCATGAACACAGAAAGAGTTAAATTAGGCAGGCTTCTCTACTAATTATAAATGTTAGTTTACTGCTTCCAGCCTTCCAGTGATATCAAATCTGATCCTCAATCAACTGAATCTTTTGGAAAGAGAAAGATATTCGCATAGTTTAAGTTTCTACAACATTCATTATTCAGATTAACCAGTCATATACCTTCTTTTCCTTCTCATACAGCATATTTAGGCACACATTCTAAAAAAGAGATGCGAAGACACAGAAGTTAAATAAATACCAATGTCAAGAGCGAATCAATATGGGCGGTTAAGCGGTCGTATCTGCAGATTTCTTTTACTATATGTTGTTTCTATCACTTCGATTTATATATCACCTTTGCTTGCTATGGTTACTACTTGTTGTTCAGTTTCCTTTTAGATTTTTTTTTTATTGTATGGGGTCTATCAGAAATAGCCTCTTTGCATTCATAACATAAGGTATGAGTTTGTTGTTATTGTTGTTGTTGTTGTCAAGAGGAGAGGCGGATTTTTATAACATGGGTGCACCACTAAAGGAAGGAGAGAAAAAAATGTATTAAGTGGGATTTGATCCCTGCTCCTCCACATAAATAACTCAACATTCAACCAAGTGCACCATTTAGCCTCTTTGGAGCATGGGTGCCAGCAGATAATATTAGACCAATTCTAAGAAATATGTACATAAAATACTTAGTTTAGCGACGAGACCATGGGTTCACGTGCCCCATTTACTTGCCTATAAATCCGCCTCTGGTCAAGAGTGAATCAATATATAGAGAATAGAAGTCATTTCTAGCCTTATATTCCCAATCTGGTCATTTAACAAATCCTGAGACTTCAAATGTCATGCGAGGACCAAATACTTCAAATGTCGTGCGAGGACCAAATAACATAAAGTACCAACCACTTTTGTTTGTCGAGTTCTAGCTTAAATATGTTCATTTTTATGTGTATCATACATACAAGACTTGTGACAAGAGAGAGCCATTTGCGCTCCAATCCATTTGTCAAAGATTAGAGTGAACGAGAAGTGTGAGGAATTTAAAACCAGTTAGGAAAAGAAGTCGAATAAATTGTTGGCGAGTGAAATAGTCTTTTATGGAGAGCAACCAAGAAGGTTAATTTGCAGGACAAGTAATGGTGACAAGGTGAACAATCATAAGCTATATAAGGTATCATTCCCAGGTGATACAAACTCCAAATGAGAGAAAGTTTTCTTATATATCCCAAAGGTAGGGAAAACTAATAAGTCGTAGTATAAACTACCAGTGAAAATACTTTGAAATCCATCAATTTGAGAAAAAACCCTTCATTAATTCTCCTACAAGTCAATCAATCAACTAATCTCAGTCTCAAACTAGTTAGGGTCGATTATATATATGAAACCTCTATATAAGCTCAGCTCTTTCAAATAGTACTCAATAATTTCTCTTTAAGGGGTTATCTAACTAAAACTAGCCCTTTCATGTTTCCATCTTTTACAAATACACAATAGAAAAGGATTTGAACAAACATAAGTAACAAACTACTGCATATTATAAGAACTTAAGTTCAAATACGAAAATAGTAAATGTCACAAAAAAAATAGCATAGTCCAAGGCCAAAATAAAAATTTTTTTACCAGGAACTGAAGAGGTAGCTCCAGTGCTGAAGCAATTAAAGGACACAAAAGCTATCCCCATCACCAAGAACAGAATAAAGAAACCAAAAGCCTTCATACTTCAAGTACAAATATTCACAAAACTAACAAAATATAAAGATTGATATTTGATTTTTCCTTCGCACCCTTTTCAAGAAAAGTGAAGTTTTTGAATAATTCAACCCATTTGAAAGAACCCGCCTTTGGTAGATGAAAAAGAAGATGAACAAGAACTCATTCTAGCCCATGTTGGAGTATATAATAAAGAGAATTATTATTAGAATTAGAATATAATAAAGAAATGATATACTAGTGAGGATGAGTCATGGAGAAGATAATGTGGGGTGTCATTGTAGTAACAATGNATATATATATATATAATGTTATAACATTACTCAAATGTTTACAAAAAACAATCTATCAATTCTAACTGAAAAATGAATGGCATGCAATCTGTAGAATTAATAAGCGAATACTACTAAAGGAAATAAATTAAAAGCAAAAATATAACATAAATTCAAAATCCAAAAAAAAATAACAGAATACTCTTATGTAAAACTACAACATAACATAAAATAAGTTTCAACATGGTTTTAGTAAATATAATTCAAAGGAAAAGGAAAACATAAGTCTATAACCTCATTCAACAATGAGATTCCACTTTAATAAAATCACTCATTATATGCTAAATTTATTAATGATTCATTATTTCTAATATGAGAAGGAGTAGTTTCAAAACTAGAACAATAGCACAATTATGCTAAACGAAAATAGAAATATAAAAATATGAGCAACTATATGGAATTACAAAAAACAAAAGTTGAAAAATGAGAATATCATTTAAATATTAAAAAGTAATATATTATTTTAACAAAGTTAAATTTGCATATAACCTCATCCAATAACAAAGTTCGACTTTAATGATATCACTAATTATAAGTCAAGTTTGTGGATGGCTTATTCTTTCTAAGATTACGAGGTATAATTTTTGTAGAAAAATTAGAATAAAACATAGCTAAGTGTAATAAAAAAAAATTAAGAAAGAAACAAAATATGAGAATTAGGTAGAAACACATGAAGTAAATGTTAGAAAATGAGAAATAAGGAAATAAAAAATAAAATATATATTTGAAAAGAAAGAAGTTAAAAAGTTGTTAAAAAATAAATTAAAAGTAAAAAAGAATAGAATAAAAAGTAAATTAAAAAGAAAAGAAAAGAGATTCAAAAAATAACCTGGTAAGCCTAGAGAGAGAGGCTCTGGCGATTTTTTACTTCTAGAGAGAGAAAGCTCGAGTTTTTTCGCTGCCATGGCCAATGTGGCCGGCGGCCAGCCTTCTTCTCCGGCTGGTCAGCCTCCCCAACCTCCCCCCAACATAACCCAGCCCTCTACGAATCCAAACAACACTCCAAAACCCATGGATTATGCAAAAGCTGTGAAACCTACGTCGAACCCTACTGCCATGCATGATCGGAATTCAACTGTTGAGCCTATTCCTTTACGTCGAGCTCAATTCTTTCAAGGACAACCAACTGTTTGTTTCACTGAAGCTGAAGTTGAGAGAATGAACGTGATAGAAGGGCTACAATATGCAGTTGTATGCAAATTTTCTTATGGTTGGCCTGAGCTTAAGGAATTACGTCGTATTGTGCCAATTCAGTGTGGAATTAAAGGTGAGTGTAATATTGGATATTTACGTGAGAGACATGTTTTGATCAGATTGTCATTATGGCAAGATTTTGTTGATTTTTCTTCGAAAGGTGTTTATTATATCAAATATAAGTTTGGTGAGGAATACCNGCATCATTTCATAGCATGCGAATCCTTTATTATACGCTTCATGGCCCAGGACATCATGGTCTAAGGACGTCATCTTAACCGTCCAAAGACAGCATTCATGGTCCAACGGGAACTTGCATCATGTTTAAATTTATGCACAATATCGCTTGTACTGTTTATTTGCAGGTAAACCGGCAAGCAACGACCATCTCGGCAGGAGCATTCCGCTCCAGTTCCCGCAGCCCTACTAAACCTTGACCATTCATCCCAACCTGAATATTGCGTCCTTTCTTGAAAGGTCTCCATCGGCATACTCCGCCGACGGATCCTGAACTACATACGGCCTGATTCGTGTAAGACCAGGGATATGTAGGCAGCTTAGAAGCCGGAGCACGGCCAGATTTTCTTCAAAATATTTCGTTCGGTCAAAATTGGTCATCATGTCTTTACCCGACAACTCTTTCATCCTTCCCGGGTAAAGAGGGGCAGCTGTTGATACCCAATTTTTCCCTGTATATTTTTCATATTCAAAATACTTTCAAAATAACATATGTCTGCATATATAAGAGTTTCCAAATGTTTTAGTATTTTTCCTAATTTTTAAAAGATTTTTTAAATCAATTTATTGCCCTATTTTAGCTATACAAACACCAATAATTATTCCTCAAATTATCATTTTGGTGATTAATTTATTTTATTCTCATATTTATCCCAAAATATAGCTAAGGTAATTTTTGCACATTTTTACAAATTTGTTTATTATTTTTAAAGCTAAATTGCATATAATTGCAATATTAGCCTATTTTAAGAATTAATTGCGCTTATAATTACAAATTTGATTCCAGTATTTTTAACTTAATATTTATGTATTATTAATAAATTTAGTACCTTTAATTTGTTTTCAGAAATCATTTTACTATTTTATAAAATAAAAAGGGAAAAAGTGGCTATTTAAAATCTAGCCCTATTATTTGCTTAAAAAAAATCCTAGAGACAAACCCTAAACCCTAAACCGGGAGGAATCAATTTTGTAACTATAAACCCTATGCCTAGAGAGAGAGGCTCTGGCGATTTTTTACTTCTAGAGAGAGAAAGCTCGAGTTTTTTCGCTGCCATGGCCAATGTGGCCGGCGGCCAGCCTTCTTCTCCGGCTGGTCAACCTCCCCAACCTCCCCCCAACATAACCCAACCCTCTACTAATCCAAACAACACTCCAAAACCCATGGATTATGCAAAAGCTGTGAAACCTACGTCGAACCCTACTGCCATGCATGATCGTAATTCAACTGTTGAGCCTATTCCTTTACGTCGAGCTCAATTCTTTCAAGGACAACCAACTGTTTGTTTCACTGAAGCTGAAGTTGAGAGAATGAACGTAATAGAAGGGCTACAATATGCAGTTGTATGCAAATTTTCTTATGGTTGGCCTGAGCTTAATGAATTACGTCATATTGTGCCAATTCAGTGTGGAATTAAAGGTGAGTGTAATATTGGATATTTACGTGAGAGACATGTTTTGATCAGATTGTCATTATGGCAAGATTTTGTTGATTTTTCTTCGAAAGGTGTTTATTATATCAAATATAAGTTTGGTGAGGAATACCAGTTGAGAACTTTGATCTATGATGCCAAATTTAAGGTAGGAGAATAGACACCTAAGGTAATGGCTTGGATTTCATTCCCAAATTTGCTACCAACGTATTTTGTTAAGGAGTGTTTGTTTTCCTTAGCATCTGCAGTAGGTAAATGTAACGACCCGACCGGTCGTTTCGAGCTTTTACACTTTGATCTCCAGTTCTCGGTCATGACTTGCCCCGTGTTACGTATTGTGACTAATGTAGACCGTTGGTTTTGGTTTTCGGGAAAAATTCGGAATGAATTTGAAAGAACAGTTTCAGTTGAATGCTTTGAATTTGAAAGGTTTGACCAAGAGTTGACTTATTTGTATATGAGCTCGGATTGGAGTTTTTATGATTTGGTTAGCTTCGTTAGGTGATTTGTGACTTAGGAGCGTGATCGGAATTGGTTTTGAAGGTCCGGTGTAGAATTAGGCTTGAATTGGCGAAGTTAGTATTTTGGCGAGTTCCGGTTGATAGGTGAGATTTTGATCCGAGGGTCGGAATGGAATTCCGAAATTTGCTGTGGCTTCGTTATGTGATTTGGGATGTGTATGTAAAATTTCAGGTCATTCGGAGGTGATTTGGTTGGATTTTTGATCAAATGCGTGTTTCGAAAATTTTAGAAGAACTTAGGTTTGAATTCGATGTGAATTGATGGTTTTGATGTTGTTTGAGGTGTTTTGATGATTGGAACAAGTTTAAATGATGTTATGTGTTTGGGAGCGGACTCTATTTCTCATTCGAGGACGAATGATCCTAAGTGGGGGATAAATGTAATGCCCCGGAAAATTTTTGAAGTGCTATTAAGAAAATTGATGTGCGCTAATTATATTATTTTGTCTGCGAACGAGGACTATTAATATGATGGATATCAATTGGATATGATAATAAGTGTACGGGTATATTATAAGTGATTTGGGGTCTAAAGAGAGGCCTAAGTCCAAGCCAAGTTGAAAAATTTTATTTAGACGAAAGTTTCGAATGAGCAGCACAAGACCAAACTTTGGACAAGAATATCTGAATAAATATAAGAATTTATGTGATGAACAACCTATCAAATGAAAGATTTTCGAATCTAGTTTCTACCGCTTCAAACCGTTCGTCATTCGGACATTCCTACAAGAAGTTACGACCAAATTACCAAAAGTAGCGCAGAATTTTACACTACCGCGGCGCCCCATGTGGTGCCTCATGCGGCGTGGCAGTACAAAAATGGGTTTTTAAGACCCGAACCCCATTTCATTTAACTCGTTTGGGGTTTGTTATTTTGGGGTTTTCTGGAGCTTTTAGAGAGAGGGAAGAGCAATTCTAGAGAGAGGAAGAAGCTCAAATGCCTTGTTCATCAAAACAATGTTGTCCAATCCTTGAAATCCAACAAGAAATCCCTCAAGTTCTTCATCAAAGAGGTAAGGTTCTATACCCTAATCTTCAATTTCGTTTTTGGGTGATTGTTGAGTAAGAATTCATGTGAAAACTAGAGATAAGTCACTTGCGGTCATTGTTAGTCAGTAATATGGGATTATCATCAAATATCCTGACTAGATTACTTGTTTTTGGGGTGAAATCCGAAGGTTTGGGGCCTAGGGATTTGAAATTTGATTTGGGGATTTGAGGGGCCATTTGAGGTCGGATTTAAGAACTTTTGGTATGTATGAACTCGTGAGGAGATAAGGAGTCCGTCGATATTAAATTTTCTGATTTTCGAGAAGTGGGCCCGGGGCTCGGGTTTTGCTAATTTCGAGATTTTCGATATTTTTCGATTGTTTTCGATTGGGTATTGTTCCATTGGCATATTGTGACGTATTCATTGTGGTTTTGCTCAGATTCGACGCGCGAGGAGGTCGATTTGAGAGGCAAGGGCATAGCGAGCTAG